TCCTCCTCCTCCTCCTCTTTGTCCTGCTTCAGCCACCTCAGCTCTGGAGGCTGCCTGGGCTCACCTCGCAAAGTTTGCTCCTCTGTCGTGGGGGTAGCTGCTGCTGCTAAGTGTGCCTTTTTTGACCTGGGCCCTCAGAGGAAGGTTGCTGGACCTCCGTGTGTGTGAGACTGTGTGTGTGTGTGTTTGTGTGCGTGCCATTCTGTTTAATTTTGTCGGTACCGATGGGTTTTTTTTGGCAAGGCTGTGATGGTTTGTTCCAAAAAATTATCTTGAGCCCTCCTCCCCCCCCCGGCTAAGTGGTTGCTGGCACTTCCTCCCTTCTCCGCTTCTTCGTCCTGCTGCTGTTGCTGGTGGTAGTGAAGAAGGAGCTGGAGGGGGTCGTGGCCAGCAATGAGGGCTCGCGCACCTCTCCTCCTCCTTGGAGCCCCAGCCAGGCTAAGGAAACTCCTGGGTGGCTTCATCGGGCTCTTGCTCCGCTTGGCGGAAAATCTGATGCGGCCCAGCCTCACCCAGACTCTGCCTCCAGCAGCCCCCAAGTAAATTGAGTTTGAGACCCCTGCTCTAGACTAAAGAACCCCAAACACTGCAGCCTTTCCTCATAAGGGAGGTGCCCCAGCCCAGTCATTTTAGTCACTCTCTTCTGCTCCTTTTCCAGTTTCACTATGCCCTTTTTGAGGTGCAACGGCCAGAACTGTACGCAATACTCCAGGTGCGGTCTTACCAGCATTTTGTAGAAGGGCATTATAATGTTTTATTTTCAATCCCCTTTTTAATGAGACCTATCATTATCAGCTAAAGCATTATCGAAGCAACCAACATGAATTTGACACAACTCCGGGAGGCAGTGGAAGATAGGAGGGCCTGGCGTGCTCTGGTCCATGGGGTCACGAAGAGTCGGACACGACTAAACAACGACAATCATGAAATTGGCCTTCTTCACTGCCACCGTACACTGGGTTGACACTTTCATCGAGCTGTCCATCAGCATTCCAAGATCTCTTTCCTGATCTGTCAGGAACAGCTCAGAACCCATCAGCTGATAACTTAAGTTTTGATTTTTCGCCCCAATGTGTATTACAGTGGTACCTCGGTTTACGAACATCTTGGTTGATGTAATTTTCAGTTTACGAAGCAAAATCCATTGAAAATAATGCCTTGGTTTACGTTTCTTTCTTTCTTTCTTTCTTTCTTTCTTTCTTTCTTTCTTTTTGAGTACGAAGAAAGTTTCCCCAGGATACATTGTGCCTGGAGGTTTATAGTGCCACCTCTGTTCCTATGGCAATCCACATTACGGTTTATGATTTTTTTTGCATTATGTAACATCCCGTAGAACGCATTAAATTCGTAAACCAAGGTACACCTGTACTTTACATTCTCCTATATTGAAACAAATTGGTCATTTTGCCGCTGATTCTCCCTGTTTGGAGAGATCTCTCTGGAACTATTCACAGTCCCTTCTGGTCTTCATGGCCCGGAAACGTTTTGTGTCATCTGCAAACTTGGCCACCACACTGCTTATACCTGTCTCCACGTCATTTATGAACAGGTTGAAAAGCACTGGACCTAGGACAGATCCCTGTGGCACACTGCTTTTCACCTCTCTCCATTGTGAAAATTGCCCATTGTGTCTCTGTTTCCTGATTCTCAACCAATTCTCAGTCCATAAGAGGACCTGCCCTCTTAGGATTTTCTCAGCAGCTTTTGGTGAGAGACCGTGCCAATTGCCTTCTGAAAATCCAGAAAGTCAATTACAGTTGAAATCAAAGGTGGGAAATAGTCTTTAGTTGATAATACTTTAATGTTTGTTCTGAAAATATTCAAAAGTGGTGATGAAGCTATTTTGCAATAGTCACTATACATTCTTTTTATGTAGCAAAATTGCTTGAACATAAATGTAATTTGATCCACTGGTGAATGGGCTGCATGCCTTGTTCAAAACTGTGTATAAACTATTCTGACTCTTACATTATTCATTTTTGAATCTTCCATTTATTATTAAATAGAATACCTATTCCTGTCTATATGTGTAAGAGTACAACTAATGTGGCTATTACTTAATACAATGTTTTTTAATGTCCCAAACTGATACCAGTAGGTAAGAGGAAGTTGTGTACAGTGGTGCCTCGCATAGCGATTGCTCCGTTTAGCGATGAAATCGCAAAAGCAATCGCTTTGTGATGTTCCCTATGGGGGAATTTCCCTTTGCGATGATCGGTTCCCTGCTTTGGGAACCGAGCATCGCAAAGCGACAATTTTAAAACAGCTGATTGGTGGTTTCAAAATGGCCACTGGGTAAACAAAATGGCCACCCGCTGTTTTCTGTGGCAGATTCCTCGCTTAAGAGGCACCAGAAATGGCTGCGCTAGGGAGGATCTTCACTGAACGGTGAGTTTTAAGCCCATAGGAATGCATTAATCACGTTTTAATGCGTTTCCAAGGGCCTTTTTAATATCGCATAGCGACGGTTTCGTTCTGCAGCTATTTTTGCGGAACGAATTAACGTCTCAATGCGAGGCACCACTGTACAAGCAAGTGCACCCACAGCCCTGAGCAGGGTAGAAAAGAGGGGACAGAGCATGACTCTTCTGTGCCACAAAAAAAAGTAAACAGGACCAAAGTTATTCATGATAAACAGAGAACATAAAAAGTGGTTTTTGCATCTTGGTAGGTTTCTAAGATTGAAAAATTAAATCAAGTTATTGAAGATCATATAGAGATTGATGAAACTAGCAT